AATACTACAGCATAATATATTAAAATGTACCATATTTTCCGGAAAGTTGCACCAGGTCAGGGGAAAAAAACAAAACATAAGTTGCATCGGTGTGCAAGTTGCATTTTACTATTACTTTCACAAATAATTTAAATACTGAATAGGTCGAAGTTAAACGAATGTTAGGGAAAAAACATTATAAACACTAACATTCATTTTACTTTGCATCACTCAAAATCGTTTAAATTTAGTGGCATTCATAACAGAACCAAAAAAATGTGCATATATATGTATAAAATTGTGTAGTGAGTTCATGAAACGCACCAGCTGTTGTACTGTGGGAAGCCGATAGGTCTGTTTTACGCGTTGTTATTTTCAACAAACCATATTCTACATGCATGGTCAGACTGGAGATGAGCCGTGCTGCAAGTGGGGTCAACCTCAAATGGACCGTGGTACGTACCAAGAGTCTCGTGGGTGATGTATCGCTGTTTTTCTGTTCCGGCTGAATATCGTTACACCCCTAACGTTAAGGCATCACATGTTGTTTTGTTGACGGTGCACCTGCTCTAATTCAGAAACTTTTTGGAGCCAGGGACCCCTTACAGGGGAGAGGATTTTCCAAGGACCCCCTCATAATTATAACAGTGTTTAAGGCTAGTTTAATGTGAGTAGGAGGAATGAACATATGATTGTTTTATTGGTGCAAATGGTCCCCATTGTATATGTACTTTTTAATACTACAGCATAATATATTAAAATGTACCATATTTTCCGGAAAGTTGCACCAGGTCAGGGGAAAAAAACAAAACATAAGTTGCATCAGTGTGCAAGTTGCATTTTACTATTACTTTCAGAAATAATTTAAATACTGAATAGGTCGAAGTTAAACGAATGTTAGGGAAAAAACATTATAAACACTAACATTCATTTTACTTTGCATCACTCAAAATCGTTTAAATTTAGTGGCATTCATAACAGAACCAAAAAAATGTGCATATATATGTATAAAATTGTGTAGTGAGTTCATGAAACGCACCATCGAACGGAGTAGCCTATAGACTACTCTAGGGAAAAAAACTAACACCCAGTATAATTAATTACTGAGTAATGAGAATTTTTAAATATGTTAAGCATTTGTTGCGTATGTTAGGGTGTATCAGCGTGGGGGCGTTCCCTCTTTTCCTCGCTTTCCTTCGAGTGTGCAAGTTGCATTTTACTATTACTTTCAGAAATAATTTAAATACTGAATAGGTCGAAGTTAAACGAATGTTAGGGAAAAAACATTATAAACACTAACATTCATTTTACTTTGCATCACTCAAAATCGTTTAAATTTAGTGGCATTCATAACAGAACCAAAAAAATGTGCATATATATGTATAAAATTGTGTAGTGAGTTCATGAAACGCACCATCGAACGGAGTAGCCTATAGACTACTCTAGGGGAAAAAACTAACACCCAGTATAATTAATTACTGAGTAATGAGAATTTTTAAATATGTTAAGCATTTGTTGCGTATGTTAAGGTGTATCAGCGTGGGGGCGTTCCCTCTTTTCCTCGCTTTCCTTCGCTTTTAAATAGCTTGTAAAAACGCAGTGCGCATTTTACTTTCACTTTCAATTAGCGGCAGTTTGGCATCAATTGCTTGAATGCAACAACAAAATACAACGTCAAACTCACTTTAGCCTATATATGAAACAGAAATTTTATTAACAAACAAATAAAAGTACACCATGCTATAGGGCAGGCTATGCCTAATATAAAATAAACTTGCATAAAGTTTAAATAGGTATACAAAACTGGAAATAGGCAATAAGTAAACATGTATAATATATAACCAATTAAATAAGAAACATAGAACATTTAGTAGCAAAACGAGTAAGAAAGCTTGGAGGCATGGCATACACCTATTTAAAAAAATTTCCAAAATCAGCTTAGATAAACGGCAAAAGTCATTGAGCAGCCGCGTTCAGTTTTTAATTGTAGTGTCTGTTCTTTTACTGAACTAAATTATTTTTATTACGATAAAAAATCAAAACGATGGTGGGGGTCGGTGCCGCGGTGGGCAAGTGACGTAACCGGTGTTGCGGCTTAACACTGGTATCACCGTCTATCGCGGCAAGCCTAGCGTATGTGTATGATAACTTAGCCCGGTTATCATTTATTAGTAGAATGTTTTATTAAAATAAATAAATGCTTGTTTTTTTGCACCCACCTATAGAAAAATTAATCGGCGCCTATGGCTGTGTCCATAACAAACTAAACTTACTTACTAAAACTGAAACATAATCACGTAGTGGGCTTTATTCGGCTACTTATGTAAAGAAGGCTTTGTACTTCTCTCGTGTCCGAATATCTACAAACAGCATCCCTTACACACTAAAAAAAAGCTCATGCTGACCAGCAAAACCTACATATTGTACAACAGACAAGTTCAATTTAGTTTGCTGATGATGAGGCTGTGATGTCAAGCTGCAATGCTAGAACTGATTTGTTGTGTGCGCGCGGGAGGCGCCAGCTCGAACACTTTGGATTCCTTATATCAGCGGAAAAATGTGATATCCGTCAGATAAGAGCAAGACATCATTCAAAACGGTCTGTTTTTATTTGTGTACCTCCAAAATGACAGTGAAACATTGTGCTTTTGTAAAATAAAGAAAACAAAATGCGCTTGCCGTCTTGGTCTATATGTGAACTTCTTACTAAAATGAAGAAAAACTCAGCGATATTTTCTACTTGTCAAACAGACATGAGAAATATATTTAGCTATATAAACCTTGAAGTGAATTAATAGCATGTTTCAGAAGATAAAAAAACGCAAATTGCAGACCAGAAAATACGGTATAGCAAATTATTTTAGTTGTGTGTGTGCACCACAACAGGCTCATAGGAGGACGCTACGAGTGTCCTGCCAAAGCAGCTTGAGGTCAGCCGGTGACTCGTGGGGAATGTTGGATCAGCGAGTTGCACGGTGATGTCCTGTGCTGTCTGTGCTCAGCAGAACCGTAGTCCGCACACCAAAATAACAGCGTCATGCTCCACGTTTCTCCGGTTACTGCTGTGATGTGGAAGGTGGTTTGAGATCGTGAGTGCTTGTGTAACGCAGCTCGGCCAGCTGACGGAAGCCGGGTTGATGTTTGAACATGCATTTGTAGGGAAAAGCACTTGTGCACTGAGTTTTATATCTGGTGGGGTCGCGAGCCAAACGTGATGTCATGTTCACTTTCACTGCTTAAAGGGACAGTTCACCCAAAAATGATCGTTCTAACATCATTTACTCATGCCGTTCAAACCTTTATATCCTGTGGAACACTTAAGTAGATGATATTCTGAAGTGTTTTAGCTTCTATAAAAAAGTCAGTGTGTGTGTTTGTTGCTTGGTTCTCAGCATTCTTCCAAACATCATCTATTTTGTGTTCTACGGAAGAAAGTAAGTCCTGAAGGTGTGATCGACATGAGGGCAAGAAAATTGTTAGATCAAGCATTTTTTGGTAAATGAGTGTGTGTCAGTCACAGACGGTGGGAACTGTGTCTATTACCCACCAGCGGCTTGTTTTAACCTAGTTAACAAAACGCAGGTGTTATCTCATACCCTTGTGCTTTAGTCAGACTAATTGGAATACTAGTGTTTATTTGAATTCCTTTTGCTGTAATGCACACATTCTCTCCAGTCGTGATATTGGCTCGATCTATGAATCGATTGAGCTGTTTTTGAGATCATAAGCCTGCTGGTCTCGTTTGTGATGGTAGAAAGACCCAAACCACTGTCTGACGTCACACTCACGGCTGTTTGCAGGTGTGAATGGCTTTAATGGCATGTGTCTGTAAATGTCCAGATGTAAGCAGAGGATCTCACGTTCTGTCTGTTGTTCATGGATGTTGAGCGTTAAAACTCCTGCGTCTCTGGAAATAACCGAATGCCTGCCGCTTCAGTGAATGTTACTTCATCTGACATTCAGTTACTCGTTCATGTGTGGAGTTGTTGGCTGTATTGGTGACTCAGCTGTGCGAGTGGCTCTGATTAGGCCGTCTCCAGCACGTCGGGGTTACTGGGGTCGTGACGAGAGGACACTGTGTCCTAAACCTCATCTACGGAGTTTCCCAGAACTAAACGTGTGTGAGCGACAAGGAAATCTGAGCGGGTTAATCATTGACGGGTCGTGATTCTCGCTCTCGTGAGTGAAATAGAAACAGCGTTTCCAGTGTTGGTGTTTGTTTATTGGAGGCTCGCAATGATTGACAGGCCGATGTGAAACACATGATTGGTCAACTCTGAGCGCTGCAGTCTAAAGTGTCCATTATCCTGATTTACTGACGTCTTGTGAATTACTGAATTTTTGTCTTTTCTGATGAGAATATAACCATAGAATGCAATGCCTCGTCTGTTCAGGTTCTCGTAAGACTTAAAGTCCCTGTAAAGTTAATAATAAGTATGTGTTCTGAGTTTGTCACACCACAGAAAAATGTATTATTAACTGCTCAGCCAAATTTGAATGATAAAATCCGCTAAGTGCATAAAATAAGTTATCAAAATCTCGAAAAAATGGGCGTTATCCTCTGCTCTCAAATGCTGGGGGCGTGTCCTCTGTCTGCTCTGAAACCACACCCGCTCGCGGGAACGCTGCCGCCTATTAACTGTCAAATCCCGCTCTACAGCCTGAATGGATGCTCCTAGCAGCTTAATTGGATTTACAAAGCCATACATGTTTGAGCCTCCAGAGCCAGAATCCAATTCAGAGGACCGCCCAAAAAATCCTGAACACAGAATTGGTGAAAAACTGTTTAACGGTCGAACTCCACTATTCAGTACTACAGAATTCACAGTTTTTGTAACGTGTCTAAGCAATACATTTGTAACATTTATAATGCGTTTAGAAACAATTCTCAGAATTGACTTTACAGGGACTTTAAATGTCACACTATTCTTTTTCTTATTGAAGAATGATGTATTCATAATTTATTTGTATTAATTTCTTTGGTGTGTGAGATGGTAACGCTGAATGTGTTCCTCACACAGGCTGTTCGCTGCTACGAGTCTCTCATCCTGAAAGCTGAAGGAAAAGTGGATCCCGAGTTCTTCTGCCAGCTGGGTCATTTCAACCTCTTACTGGAGGAGTATCCGAAAGGTGCCGAGAAGCGATTCACTCGCCGCATGCTCTGTTCTGATCCACAGAGCGTCTGAGGAGCTTCTCCTAACACGCCTGTCTTTCTGTGTTGCAGCATTATCGGCGTACCAGCGGTACTACAGTTTACAATCAGACTACTGGAAGGTGAGCAGCTGATGAATTCAAACATAAGTGTGTGTGTGATTTATAGCACATTGATGTGGTCCTCACTCAGGTCCTGTGATCAGACTGTTTAGTTATCATCCAAAAATAAAGTGAAGGAAGAGTGAGCTCAGAGATTGGAGAAAGAGGGGTTAAATATAAGTTCTGCTTAGATATTGGTTTGCTCTTCATGATTTCAGATGTGGTTATGTAAAAGTGATTGTTGTGAGTGCGCGCGTGTGTGTGTGTGTGTGTGTGAGTGTGTTTACTGTGTGTTTACTGTGTGTGTGTGTGTGTGTGTGTGTGTGTGAGTGAGTGTGTTGACCGTTGTGGTGGGATCTTCCTGTGTGGTTTTCACTTTGGCTGATCCGGTCAGTGTGTTGATCTCGTTGAATGTGGATGTCTGATTATTTTTGCTCTGAATCTCAAACACTGCGTCCTCTCTTCCTCTAGAATGCTGCCTTTCTGTACGGCCTCGGGATGGTTTACTTCCATTTCAATGCGTTTCAGTGGTGAGTATCTGCACACAATAATGTCATGTTCTCGTTTTCAGTGCTCATATGACGAGGTTAACGAGCTCAGATGGGCATCGGGGGGGGTGGGCGGACGGTTTCCATGGCAATATGCAGGCTGATTCGGACTGATTCCTCACATTTTAATGCACACACGTCTGCGTTTACCTGCCGTCAGTAAATTCAGTCTTATTCAGGAGCACCGTTACACGCTAACATGACGGTCACACTTTGTGCTGTTCAGGAGTGAGTTTTTAATTGCGGTTTGTTTGCTCTCAGGGCGATCAAGGCGTTTCAGGAGGTGCTGTACATCGACCCCGGCTTCTCTCGCGCTAAAGAGATTCATCTGCGTCTCGGCCTGATATTCAAAGTCAACACGGACTACGAGTCCAGCTTAAAGGTACGACACGAGCATCTGTGTCTGTGTGGTAGGTTTTCAGTGATGTTGGTGAATTTCTGTGATTTACATGGAAACATCTACACATCACGGCAACTGCAGTCAGTCATCCTGATGTGATCTCTGACATGTCGACAAACATGAATGACGTAAATCTGTTGACAGACCGTGAATGCGGCTGAATTATAATTTCTCATTGAGTCTGGACAGCTGCTGTCAATCTAAACGGCTGTTATGCTTCAGACGTGAGACCTGATCTAGGGACAGCACATTTAGTATTAGATGAATTTTTGCTTGTTTCTGTCATGTATTTATTCTGTGTAATTCATTTTTAATGTAGGATTGTGCTTTGACTGTCATCTTGAACTGAAGTTTCACTAGAAGTAGCTCAGTTTCCTGGATGTGTCTGTTGTGTGTTTGTGCTTAAACTCTTTGATTTGCATTAATGAACTGCAGTATATGCAGGCATTTAAAGTGCCTTCATCAATTGTTAACATGTCCGTCTGGTAATGAGAGATGCTTCGGTCTCCTGTGTGTCTGCAGCACTTTCAGCTGGCGCTCATCGACTCCAATCACTGCTCTTTGTCCAAAGCTGAGAGTAAGTACCGCACCATCATCTCGATATAATGTCACGTTACACACATCTGAGTTCTGACATGTCGACAAACATGAATGACGTAAATCTGTTGACAGACCGTGAATGCGGCTGAATTATAATTTCTCATTGAGTCTGGACAGCTGCTGTCAATCTAAACGGCTGTTATGCTTTAGACGTGAGACCTGATCTAGGGACAGCACATTTAGTATTAGATGAATTTTTGCTTGTTTCTGTCATGTATTTATTCTGTGTAATTCATTTTTAATGTAGGATTGTGCTTTGACTGTCATCTTGAACTGAAGTTTCACTAGAAGTAGCTCAGTTTCCTGGATGTGTCTGTTGTGTGTTTGTGCTTAAACTCTTTGATTTGCATTAATGAACTGCAGTATATGCAGGCATTTAAAGTGCCTTCATCAATTGTTAACATGTCCGTCTGGTAATGAGAGATGCTTCGGTCTCCTGTGTGTCTGCAGCACTTTCAGCTGGCGCTCATCGACTCCAATCACTGCTCTTTGTCCAAAGCTGAGAGTAAGTACCGCACCATCATCTCGATATAATGTCACGTTACACACATCTGAGTAAACATGCACACGTCACATGGAAACGCTGACTAGATACTGTTATCAGTTTAGGACGCATGCGCTGAGAGTTATTATTAGTGTTGAAAAGTGAAATTGACGTGTGGTGTCCCATACTCAGAATCTGTATTCTGCATTTCACCCATCCAAGTGCATACACACACACACACACACAGTGAACACACACGCGCACACACAGTGAACGCGCGCGCACACACGCACACACAGTACATGCGCACACACATTGAACGCGCGCGCACACACAATACACAGTGCACGCGCACACACACACACAGTACACGCAGGTTTACATTTGTGAAAAGTGGGGACTCTCCATAGGCGTAATGGTTTTTATACTGTACAGACCGTATATTCTATTGCCCTACACCAACCCTACCCCTAAACCTCCCCCTCACAGGAGACTGTGCTATTTCAGATTTTCAATACACTCCATTCTGTGTGATTTATAAGCGTTTTGAAAAGTGGGGACATGGGGTAATGTCCTGAAAAGTCACCTTCTCCTTGCAATACCTCTCATGCCTTTGTCATTATACAAATTTATGTCCTCATTTGTCACAAAAACGCGTATACACACACACACACACACACACACACACACACGCGCACATCACACACACACACACACACACACACAGTACACACACACACACACACACACACAGACAGTGAGTACTGAACTCTCTCTCACTCACACACACACACAGGGACATCAAGGGCCGTCTCACCTCTGTGTCATTTTCTGGGCAAAGGAAGATGTTTTTCACTATTTTCTCCATCAGAATCATTCAAAAAGAAAATCTTCTATTCTGAATTTGCTGCTAATTGTTGTTTTTGTGTTTTTGTTTGTAGTTCAGTTTCACATCGCGCATTTATACGAGATTCAGGTGAGTCCTTCATTAATGTCTCTTTCTTTCACTGACCGCACATATAAATGTGTGCTGCTTGTAATTGATGGTAATGCATGAAATCGTGTTTGTGAAGGGGATGCTAGAGCTTAGCGTTCGGGTCGTGTTACCATAGCAACTGGAGAGGGGTTGCCGTGGTGTTGCTCCCTGAACGTTCACCACGGTATCACGTGACATGAACGATTTGTCATGTAGGGTTTTGTTTGAGTGTGTTTGTGATGCCAAACTGAGCAAAACCATTGCGTGTGATTGTAGATGTTCAGAGAGACTGCGTGTTTACCGGTTAGTTCACGTACACTGATGAATGTCCGGTCTGGTTTTGTTGCGTCATAGAAGAGATACCGCGCGGCCAAGGAGGCCTATGAGAGTCTCCTGCAGACGGAGGATTTACCTGCGCAGGTGAAGGCCGTGACCTTACAGCAGCTGGGTAAGAGCATGCCTCACCAGGAACACCTGTGTTTGCTCATGATCTGTTTAAACGCCTCGTAATATCTACAGGGGCGCTTCTGTGACGTGTGGAATAAGTGTTCAAATAAACCGTTTTCGAATAAAGTTTTCACATCCGTGTAAATCTGGAAGCTTGACAGATGCAGGCAGGGATGTGACAAAACTATCCTCAAAGCGGTTTATCTGGAGCAAGATCATCTGTGACGCATAACCAGCAGTTCATTCACCTACGAGTCGAGAAGGTCGTTTGCTTTTGAACTGAAACTGCTTTAACAAAAGCATGCAGTTGTAAATGCACCACTGAACTCGGGTTTGAGGAATGAGTCTAAATTATTTTCTGTGGTAATGAGCGGCAGACCACAGAGTTTATTCTGTCTGAAAGAGTGTCTCTGTCTGTGTCAGGCTGGATGCATCATACGGTCGAGCAGCTGGGAGATAAAGCTAATAAAGACAGCTACGCTATCCAGTGTCTCCAGAAATCTCTGGAAGCCGATCCGAACTCTGGCCAGTCCTGGTATTTCCTCGGCAGGTCAGTCACACATCTGCGTCTGAGCACGCGGTTCGTTTGCTCGCAGATTAGCGATAGTTGTGCAGATGTGGTTTTGTTTGCTCTCTGCAGGTGCTACTCCAGTATTGGGAAGGTCCAGGATGCTTTCATCTCATACAGACAGTCCATAGATAAATCAGAGGCCAGCGCTGACACGTGGTGCTCGATCGGGTACGTATCTGTCAAAACACAAAAACCTGCTGACATTTACATGAATAGTTGATGTAAAACTGAGTCTTCGGTCATCGTTACTTGCCCTCGTGTCACTTCTAAAGGTGAAATTTTATTCTTCAGCTCTTACAATAACAGTTTGTAGCTGGCACGTGTCTCCAGCTGAAAGTAGCGTAACTGCATGTGCTTGGCGTGCTTTACTCCATGTGTGAGGATCTGAGCCAAATTTAGGCCACTGTTCACTGTATTTGTAATTCTGCTGTATTTGTCAACGCATCACGTCTGGTTGGGTTATAAAGAGTTCGCCGTTGTTTCACAATGTTGTAAATTCTTTGTTTCTGTTACTCATTGTCTACAGAAAATACACATGCTATACATTTTGTCTGGCACTAATTTCGAAGTCATTTTGTGCAGATTTTTGTTGTTCGTGTATATATCTGATTAATCTAGTATGCGTATAGGATGCATTGGATGAGTTAATTAACCTGTTAGCAAAGCGCTTTTTTTGTCGTCATATATTCATCAAGTCTTGTTTAAGGAACTAACGTTTACCATTGAGACATTTGGTGTTAATGTTGTCAGTGTGTCAAATGCTTGCTATATGTGTCCCTGCAGCACAAAAGCAGTGTTAAGTCGCTGGGGGATATTTGTAGCAATAGCCAACAATACATTGTATGGGTCACAATTATACATTTCTCTTTTATGCCAAAAATCATTAGGATATTAAGTAAAGATCATGTTCCATGAAGATATTTTGTAAATATCCTACCGTAAATATATCAAAACTTAATGTTTGATTAGTAATATGCATTGCTAAGAACTTCATTTGAACAACTTTAAAGATGATTTTCTCAATATTTAGATTTTTTTGCACCCTCAGATTCCAGATTTTCAAATATTGTGCTATCCTAACAAACCATACATCAATGGAAAGCTTATTTATTCAGCTTTATATATGAATAACAGCTTAAATGTGAGTCTGTTGGTCATGTTCAGAAGTTTTGTAGTGCAGCGCATGAGTTTTGGTACTAAGATTCTTCCAAAATGATTATTTTGTTATAATGTCACAACATTAGGATGAGTGAACGATGACACGCCTGTTGTTCCTGTGTCACGCTGCCTCATTGTGTCTGGTTTGCTCTGTTAGCGTGCTGTATCAGCAGCAGAATCAGCCCATGGACGCTCTGCAGGCGTATATCTGCGCCGTGCAGCTGGATCACAGTCACGCCGCGGCCTGGATGGACCTGGGCACGCTCTACGAGTCCTGCAACCAGCCGCAGGACGCCATCAAGTGCTACGTCAACGCCACACGCAGCAAAGCCTGCAGCAACACACCTGCGCTGGCGGCCCGCATCAGATACCTGCAGGTGAGAGCCACGCACACCTGTACTGCTGAACGAGTCGTGTAGCCCACGCTAGTGCCGGTGGGTCCGCACCGCTCGACTCGGCTCTGTGTGCGGGTCTCACTACGTGTTGCATTTGTTCTGAATGTGTTCAGTTAATTTGTGTCTCAATCAGATTTCTTTCACCTTCATTCTTCGTTTGTATGCGTGAGTCACTGCAGCTAGAAGCCTCCGTAAATCTAGACTGGTTTGGCATCAGGCCGCACTGCTCTCTGTTTGAACTGTTCCGCCGCACCACCTCAGATGGCTGTTTACATGTCTTTTTCACGCGTTTTCATCCTAGGCTCAGTTCTGTAACCTCCAACACAATAGTCTACAGAGTAAAAGTAAAATGCTTCCTGGTATTGAGGAAGCCTGGAGCCTCCCAATCCCAGCAGAGCTAACGTCCAGACAGGGTGTCCAGAGCACAGGCCAGCAGGTGAGACCAGATAGACACACACGCTTTGACATCTCACCCTTAGAACTGCCCCTCTGTATACACACACACACACACACACACACACACACACACTCTCTCTCTCGCTCTCTCTCTCTCACACACACACACACACACACACAGTACACAAACACTCACTTACTCACACACACACACACACATCTGGTGAAACCACGCTCCTGCTCGCCACATCGTAAGATCATTGTTGCTCTGTAACAATTGAGTCAGTATTGGAAGTATTTTTGGAATCCTCCTGTAAAACTAGGGATGCACCGATATGAAGATTTTGGCCGATACCGATAACCGCATTTCCAGAAAGCATCTGTTTTCGACAGCGAGCCGATCAGTAGCGTGGTTTCTGTACATGAGCTTCAGTAGTGTAGCTCTACACAATCACACTCCTGGGTTAAAAATGAGTTTGACGCCTCTTCAATTGGCTGTAGGTTCAACAACAGTACTAGTGCCTCATCTTGCAGTTTTTCACCCAGAGTTGTGTTTGTGCTGTAGTTTTAGTCCTGTAGTCATTGTGCCCTCTAGTGTTGCAGTTCCACACCAAACACTGACGCAGTCCGGCTGGAGTAGTTACTAGTCGAGTGTGTGTGTGTGTGTGTGTGTGTGTGTTCATGACAATTTTTTATGAGACGTGTTTTTCTCTCTCATTGATACTGATGCTCTCGCTCATAATAAAAGTTTTATTTGTTTCTGCATCTTTTCTCTCAAGAGTTCAGTTGTTGTTGTTGTTGTTGTTGTTTTGGGGGGCAGCAGGACACAATCATCATAGTGTGCTAACAGCTCTTATATCAGTTAGGTCTTTAGCACAGGTGGCATGTGTGTTAGTGTTTTATTAATTCTCAGTGTTTTTAATATTGCTGTATTGTATGGTAAAAAGACGTGATACATTGATTGGCAGCGTCTCAAAGGTCAGTCTCTCGCGCTCCAGCGCCACCAACAGTTCAGATTCTTACATACGTTTTGGCCAATGACCTATGAACTGAATGACTGAGGAATAGATCATCTTCAGATGTTACATGCTTTAAATTTTTTTTTTTAAACCATTCACATGTAACACATTAAAGAATTTGAGGGAGACCACAAAACAGGAAGTGAGGCTGTCTCTGTGTATATTAACCTGATATCTGTATTATTGAAACAGTGCTCTGCGTGTAGTTTAAATCCAGTTATTCCAAACTTTTTTGGTCAGAATCACTTTGTGTTTTATTCTGTTAACAACATTAAACCGGCTCATAAAAACAGGGTTTGAATGGATTTGTTTACCATTTTGTTTTTGTGGATGCACTTTTCAACTGAATATGATCTGAACAAATTTTAGCTTTAAAAGGCCTCTGGTAAAGACCTCGAACGTGAGCCACACTCAAGCTTGTAAATGTTGTAAATCACAGTTTACTCCTAATATTGAGGTGCGTCTGAGAGTCCACACCAGACAGATCACCCTCGCAGCTCTGTTCCTCACCTGACCAGAGAACCGTTGTTTAACATTTGCATGCATTGACTGTGTGCAGATTCAAAGTTTGATTTGGTTTTTGTCAGCTGCAGGTGTCGTAGTGTTTGTTTCAGCATCACAAACTAAAACACACTCTCTCTTCGCTGGTGTAGATGTTCTCCGTCTCTGTCTGTCTCTCTCTCTCAATCATTCTGTTTCTTCACGTGTCTGCGGTCTCTCTCAGGCATGTAAAGCTCAGCCCGGGTCGTCAGGTGGGGCTCATGGCTCCGGTCAGTCGCTGCCCCCCCACGTGAGTCCGCTGGATCAGGCTGAGGATCAGTCCAGTCCAGCCAAGAGGAAGAGGACTGCCAGCCCAGCCAAGGTTTGTGCTCCGCTCAGCGCATCGCTGATATAATGACAGCAGTAATAATCACATCTCTGTCTCTTCACATCACTCCTCAGAGTTCTACAGAGTCTTGGACCCACAGTTCAGCACAGCCACCAGCTCCCAACTGGTACCTGTCTCCTCAGAAGCTGCAGGTGAGAGCATGATGAACACCTCATGATGATTGTGAGTCCTGAGCTTCATTTACTGGTGAATCAGTGTGAGTGCTGACGGCCCTACCGACTCGAAGACAACGTCCAGCACGCTTGATGTTGGTTTAGACCAGCAGTGTCCAGTTTAGCTCCAGCACACCTGCCTGTTGACTTCGATTGTCTGGGTCAGGTGTGTTCGTGCAGGGCTTCAGCTGAGCTCTGCTGGAGCAGGACTGGACACCGCTGGTTTAGACGGTGGATTGTTGGTTGTTCAGGCTCTCGTGGGTTTGCCAGTGACCGATGAGCTGCCTCTCACTGAAGCTGACTTTCTGATGTGACATCCATGAACATTATTGAGCTGTTTTGGGTTGAACACCTTTATTGTGAACACACGGTCATTCTTTTGTTCTGCTCAGTTGCTGGAGCAGTTGCGGGTCAACCGTGCGAGTCTGAAGCCGCTTCAGCTGCAGATGTTGGAGCAGTTGGAGGCTCAGCTGTCAGCCATGCACCAGCAACAGGTACATCAGACCACAATTCGTGAAACCTGAAGAAAAAAGTATGAATCATCAAAAGTTTATTTGTAAGAATGTTTTGTGAATCTGGCCCGAGAACCTTCCAGAAGTCTTCAAACTCATGGTTCTCTGTGATGCATCTTCTTCTTAAGACTGCGGTGACACTTTGATTATAAGGTTGTTTGTTTGACTTCCTAAATTTACAGTTGGTTGTAATTTTTAATTAACAGATGAGGCAAAACTCTTCTGGGCAAATACGAGTCACCCTCCCCAACGGCCCCTCACTGCCTGCTCACCCTGTTCCTCGCGGCCCGGCCGTGCCACCGTCTTGTAACGCTCAGCCGTTAGCCAACGGCCCGCAGCCCCCTTCAGTCGGCAATAATCACACGCCAGGAACCAGAGCGAACGGAGACGTGCCTTACCTGCACCCCAACTCACTACCTCACAACTGCACAAGCCCAGGAGACACATGGAGGAGCCAGCGTCTCAACTCCACTCAGGTCTGCTTCTGCTGCTTAAACACATCATAGAAAAAACATGTGGTCATGACCCCGCCTCGTTCTGCATTGCTCGTTCACACCTCAGACATGACATGAACATCGAGATTTTTAGAGACACAACTAAAAATGTGTGCCTTAATGATGCTGGTCTCAAGTATCTGAACGATGTGCAGAAACCGCTTGATGCTAGCTTTTACCTGCATCTGGTTTGTGATCTGAAAAATTATTAGTATCCCATAATATCATTTGTTTTCTTCAATGTGCAACACAAACATAACTGTTAACATCTAAAAAAAATAAAGTTTAGGTTTTGTGACCAGTAAAACTAGCAAAAAGACCATGTTTAGCTGTGCCCCACATTAACCTGTTACCACATGACTTAAAGCAACAGGAATTCCAAAATTTCATGTGAGGATCATTAGCAAATAATCTATACAAAATAAATATGTACATTTGTATATATTTTATGTCGAGTGCGTTGGTTCATCAAGCTCGGCAACATGCTGCTTGGATTACACACTCACAAGCAGCGATTTAACACTTTCTCGGCTCGTTCATGCTTCAGACTGAATAATGACACTGTTGTTTTTTACAGCAGAATCTGAATCGTCTCCGTGTTTGAGTTTCCATTGATTCTGTTATTTTCCTGTTCATTTCTGTGGAGCTGCTTTGACACAATCTGTATTGTATAAAGCAGGGGTGCCCAACCCTGCTCCTGGCGATCGACTGTCCTGCAAAGTTTAGCTCCAACTCTAATCAAACACACCTGCCTTTCATTTTTAAGTGATCCTGAAGACCTTAATTAGTTGCTTCAGGTGTGTTTGATTAGGGTTGGAGCTGAACTTTGCAGGACAG